TTATGTGTCTGAGTGGCAGTAGGAATAGAATAAACTGCTGACATCAAGGCCAACTCTCTTTATCCCTCACACTGCAGCAATGAAGTCATTTTAAGTCAAACACACACACAAACACACACACACAACGGAGAATAAAACCTTTGAAATGGCATCACTGTGGGAGTTAGAGGAAGTGGACGATTCAAACTTCTTGCCCTGAAGACAGAGCTTATTTTATCAGTGCTGTCCTGTAGGTTATTAGAGACTTCCTCTCAGCAAACAGTGCGGCCTCTTATCATCCAGAAGTCAACACTTATCCAGGCTACATTTTAATGACATTCTTCAAGCTAGAGATGTCTCCAATTTCATATGACTGGTTGATGATCTAAGCCGCCAAAACCTCAAATGTCCTGTGACATCACCTTTGCTTGATTTATTTCACTGGTCCTCACATTTTTTTCCTGCTTAAGGGTTAAAGAAAATTCTAAATAAAACTCATGATAAATATCAGCAAATGCATCTGATCCTTCGAACAAGCCAACACAACAGGTTGATTTGGGTGTGTGTGTGTGTGTGTGTGTGTGTGTGTGTGTGTGTGTGTGTGTGTCTGTGTGTGTGTGTGTGTGTCTCTGAGCGACCTCATCTGTATTCATTTATGAAGGAAGTGCAAGAGGTCCTTTCATGTTTAGAGTATAGAATGACTAATGGAGACAGATAGCATGATGAATCCACTCATCTGTAATGGATCAACCTCGTCTGGCCCCCGAATCTGATCTAATCAGCCTGAATCAGCTTGTTATCACACCATCTAACCAGTGACTCACAAACATTCAGTCTTGTGACAGTGTCACGGGAGGTATTATAAACATCATAAATTAGAATTGTTGTTGTGCTGAAATGCTAATCTGGTAATTGTGCACAACTGCTGACCTGTTATATGCGAAAAGTATCTTCCTAAATACAGATTTGATTTTTTTTGCAGCATGGAGCAGGACTGTGAGGAATCAGTTTGTCTAATCTCCAACATGTAAGTTGAAAAAATGTAAGGCTGTAAAAAAAGATAAGTGCTTCAAGGAATATAAAACAAGTAAGCAACCATTTAACTTTATTTATCTCTTTGTCTCTCCCCTCCAGATTCACACTTAAACTGCATGCATTTGTGTGGTTGAGTGGCAGAGTATTTATGCTGCGAATAATATTTACATAGCCCACTGTGGACCACCAACTCTGCAATGATTACACAGTGGGTCCTGCACACATAACCACACATTTGCAGACACTGAGGAATAAAACACCGAGAGCTGTCCAGAGAGATCAGCTTTTATGACATAACCTGGTTACAGTCTTAAACATGCAGTTATATTGCAATGCCAAGCAGGAGCCAGTGTTTACAGCCTTAGTCACAGCCATGTATCTTAGTGCAAATTGTCCTTGTGGTCGCCTAACACTAACACACCTTATACCATCAGCACTCAGCTAGAAATCAGAAATATGATCAGGAAAAAGCACATGTGCTGAACATAGGAGCATCTACTTCAAAGTAGTACACTACATCAGCACCAACTGCACTAACGTTCCTGCTACAGTGCCATGAACAAAACAGACATAATGAAATGCAACATTAACATCTGTCAGACAGCAGGCTGCCAAGCCAAATGTCTTATCTGTTTAAGTCCAACTGGAAAAGGTTGGATAATTTTTAGACTTTACCCCTCTCCTGTCCTCATCTGCTTGCTCTAATTAGCTCTGATTTTGAATAAAATCCCTACTTTCCTTCCTCATTTTCTCATCGGACTGACATGCATACATGTGTAATGTACCAGGGTTTAATCCACACTTTGTGCTGTGGAACAATACCTCAACTAAAATAAAACATGTAAAAACACATTCAAGTATTGTGTGCACCAACTTTGAAATATCTAAATACACTGTCAGTGTAAAAGGAAATAGGACTTGGCCAGAATCCCTGCCATTTTATGCTGTATTCATTTAAAAACAGCCAACAAGATGTGCATTTGTATTATTTCCAAAATGCTGGCACAGATCTGCCAATTCCATCCTCTTTAAATTATTTTCCAACCAACCAGCCTAGCAGAATTGTGCAATACTTCAATTTCACAGAGTAGGCTGTTCTGTGAGAGGGCATAGCATGACGATCATTTCCATGGCTAGGCTCTTTATTGCCTACCCTGAGCAGTACGGATATAAAACTGTATTCATCCCCAAAGGTAAATTCTATTCTATTCCATTTTGAAAACATGAAACCTTGGAGATGGTAGAGACAGTTTGTATTGCTCAGGGACACTTGATGGAGTAGATGATGGTTGACATGGCAGTTTGCATCCAGTTCCACCAGTTTTAAGACGGTCTCTGGAACTAGTAGGCTTTTCGTTAAAAAGAAACCAATATGACTCCTCATCAGCCTGTAAAAACAGAAGTATAATATCATCTGTGGATCTGGGGGGATCTGTCGTCAGGATTTCCTTGAGGTACAGATATCAAGTATTTGACAGAAAAAACTGCATTATAATCTGGGGGGGGCATGGAGTTTGAAAGACGAGGGCAGTAAACAGACAGGAAAGCTCTAATGTAAGATGCTATGGAGTTGCATTTGTCAGTCATCAGTATCTGTGTATATGTTGGCTGGTAAGTAACAAGAAATTGCAGTACAGAAACACAAAACCAGTGTCACCATCACATAGATTGTCCACAAGAGAGCAATGACAAGTTCATTTTTTAACTGTCCCTCTTGGTATTTAACTTGGTCACAGTTCTTAAAAATAAAATATAAATGTCAGAAACCCATGTCAAAATTGATTGTTTATGTAATGTGAATGAGTAATGTAAAATGATTTGCTGATATACTTTTAACTCCTAAAGATTGATGTTGATATAAGCGTCAGAAATCCAAAAGGAGTCCGGCTATTTATTTATTTACTAATTTAGTGGATGCAGCTAAATTACTGGAGTACCCCTTTTATGTTGGAAGCAAACTTCCAACTAACAATGAGAAATGTATGCATTAATGTAACGTATTCTGAAATCTACCCAAACTTCGCCAGTCCTGTGTCAGGTCACACTGTTTTAAATAAATTTCCATCAGATTCAAATTCAACTCTTGTCACGAGGAGGGTCATGAAGGAGATTTGGCTGGCAGGCATTGATGTATTCTGACATCAAAGTGGGTTTAACCCGCGTCAATGTGTAGGTCTGAATGGGGTATGAATCATCAGCTCCCCTTCCTATAGCTGACAATCGTTTGAAAGGAAGGAGAGGTAAATACAGATTTACATGCAGCTTGGCGTCTACATACTCATAAAACAAATATGATCTACCTGTCTCCAGTATCAATATCCTCTCCAATTTAAAACGCCTTGTCAAGATTCACCTCCTAAAGATCCACTTCCACCTCCAGGCTGCCACTACTGTGCAAACACACAACCACACAAGATACCAAAACATCATGCAGTACTGTTACAAAATCATCTGTGGATGCAGCCAGCCAGAGTCTACAGCAGTCACTACACACCAGAAGACTATTTTAGTTTGCATTTTTATACTCTCAGTCCCCTGCAGATTAGATTCCAGGTACACGGGAATGTACTTAGCAAATAAATATGACTCAGATCCTTATTTTGTTTGTACACCACCTACTTCACCACATTGGGACTGAAAAATTATTGCAGCGGTTCATCTTCAAATTCTTTTCATAGTGCTTGGATATGGATGCACATCATGTTCTTTTCTGTCAGTGCTCGCCTGTGTTACAACATCCCACAGATGAAAATTATCCAGACAGGATTGCTGATTTTACTTGGACTATTTGGCATCCCTGCATTAAATTAAAATGAAGGATTTTTAGCACAAAATGGCTGCCAGAAAACGTGAGCAGAGGGATTCTGTTAGCTCAAAGATAGTATTACTGTACATTTAAAAGCCATCATCTAATGATCTTCAAACATACGGGGCAAGAAACTCTGAAATATATTTAAATTTGATCCAAAAACAAAGAGTGAATGCTACCCAGCACTTTAAATCTACACACAGGTAAAGTACACCAAAACAACAATGAAAGTTAACCCAGAAATAATGCTAAGAAAAATCTAAGAACTGAAATCCATACATAATCAGTGTAAAGATGTTACCAAACATGACCAGAAAAGAGCATGATTCCCTGTTTTGGGAATGTTTGTCTGTAGACACGTCAAAATGGAGAAAGAGTTGGTCTCTCACTTTGCACTTTGTTCTCTTACATTAATGATGATGAGTCCTCAAAGCAAACATGTGCTGTACAAGTATTTATACACCTACACCTACAGCCAATGGACCCTTGGGAAGCTTATCCCTTGGCTGGAGGTGTTGAAAAAAGTCTAAAAACACAGCAGTGGTAAATTTTCCACAAATAAAGCTAAGCTGCTTTAATGTGTATCTGAATATACTTTTGTCAGCCTAAAAGCTCTGTTAGTGGACCCAATAAAGGACATACTGCTTCTTTATACCCACCGCACCAGTGTGGTTTGGCCTGATCAAGTGAACGACCCTACTCACTGGATTTGGTGACATATACTGATGTTTTTGCCACACAGAAAAGGACAGACCAGTACACAAGATAGAGACCATCCAGGTCTCTACCTTTCTATTTTCCTAATGAAGAAGCGCTCAAGACAACTGCAACAAGACCAGTTATTCCCACATGTACAGCCACATCTCATATGTCCAAACAGTGGCCTCCTTAGGATGTTTAACCCCAGTGGTTGGACAAATGACCTGTCAAACTTCACCAGCATGGAGCCTGCAACTGATGCTTGTTTAGTCTCGCAGGAACAAGCAGGTTGCTTCATTTACATAGCTAGCATACATTTTTCAGAAAGCTGCAACAGCTGACTACATCATCATTATCTGGCATGTGTTTGGCTTAAAAACATATCAATCACATACCTTAAACTCAAGGGATACGCGTAAGCTATGCAGTGCTTACCGGGCGTCCAACAGGGTTAGGCTTCCAGCATATGAAAGGATATGGGTTACAGACGACGCGAAGACACCAGTTGCGAGGCCTTGTTGTTTGCTTTAAGCAGAAGAAGGCCAGCGGGGCCAGGGCCGGGTACGGCTGCTGCTCCTCCTCCTCAGAGACGCAGTCTGGATCGCGAATCGGAGCTGTGATACGAACTCCCAATGCTGGACCAACTTCCACATCCAGCTCCGGTTCCTGGTCTTCATGCTCCTGAACTTCAGAACTCCATTCTCCTCCTTCGCACCGTCCACTACTGCTCCTCCCCTCCCTCTCCACCTCCTCCTCTTCCTCCTCGTCATGGCCTCCTCCAGGGTCAACATCATGGCCTGGGGTGTCCTTCCTGTAGGGCGTCGGTATAGCAAGCCTCACCTCTTCCTGCACTTCCTCCTGCTCCTGCCCCTCCGGGCACTCAGCGTACTGAAAGCGTGCTCTCCCCTCGCCATCAGTCATGATAGAGCATCAGGCAGAGCCACTCTGAAGGGAGGTCAGAGGGAGAGAGGTTAGAGAAAGGGTGTAAAGATGGACAGCAGTGTGATGAGAGAGGCTATGGTGGAGGTAGAGGGAAGAACATTTGCAAAGATGCAGAAAAACAGTGACAGAAAAGGAAGCAGGTGAAAGACAAATCACACAATGAGCCAAATAAACACTCAGGCCGTTTCTTCCTCCAGTCCTTCAGCAGCAAAAGTGCTTGCTTCCAATCAATCAAGACACAGATTTTCAATATTGGTTTACTAACCTGGCAGCGCTTGAGGCTTTCCGTGAGTATGAATTTTACAAAGCTCTTTGTCAGTTCAACCACTTCCTCAGTCTGTGTCTCTTTCTCTCCACTTAAAAATGAACTATCCCTATGATAGAACATAAAATAATGACAAGAAACCAAAGATCTTTGTTGGAACACCAAATATATATTGTGTGAATATAAGAGACGAATTAATACAGTAAACTCACTATTGAGCTCCACAGACAGACAACTAGGCCCTACTTGCTGTGTTTCAGTGACTATATATAGTTAGCAACACAAACATGTATTACAATAAGGTAATATATGAGTGCCACAGAATTATATTGTGATATTATGGGAATAGTGAGGCTATTTTCAAAAAAACTCTGTCTCCTGCTCTTCCTGTTGCTATGTGATTGAACAGATGGACTGCTCTGTCTCTGGTCTACTGGAGGTTTTTAGCGGACACCACGCAATGGTGGGCAGGGAATGCGCAAAAAGAAAAAAAAACACAATACATGCCACACTAATCCTGATTATTGTAATAAGTAGAATAGCATCGAGAGCAAAACATTAGGCATTATAATCCCGCAAACAGACTTTTCTCTTCCAAGGGCTTTTTTTTAATGGTCTTTGTTTCCCTCATTTGCCGTAATATGAGAAAAGCGCATCTCGAGGTTCAAGGCAGCTGTATGTCACAGAGGGATACATGTTAAACATGCTCTCATCAGAATAGCTGCTGAAAAGTAGGCTACTAACATTTCAAACGGTGAGAAAGGAAATAAAAACTGCCTGAAGGAATGGAGCGCCCATCACCTGTGTTTTTGTTTTTTCGTCATTTAAAAGTGCACTAAATCTTGGACTCGATATATATTAAAACATTACAGGCAAACAGAACAACTTTATTATTTTAAAATACCTTATAGAGACGGAATCGGAAGTTCCCATAAGCATGATCTGTGACTTTCCGTGTTTCTAGCACACCCAGCCTTTCTCAGCAATCCGGAGCTTTCCTTGTCTCCCCTTCCTCTCTTCTCTTCCCTCAAAAAAATCTCCTTACTTCTTTTGATTTTCACAGACCAAAGGTAATCCGAGAACCGTTACAAAAAAATAAAACACTGGAAGTAATCAAAGAATCACTTGAAGAGGTCTTCATGTGCGCGTTCGGTTAAACGGGAACATCTATCCAAATCCGTGCATCCATCCATCCGTCCATCCTCGCTGAGGTGTTGGTTACGCAGCGTGGAGCGGAGATGCGCGCGGGAGGGTCGTACCGTGTGAAGTCGCTGAGCTGAAGCTCCGTGGATGAGCTGACGCGGAATAACTTGGCCCAGGACCCGGGAGCCCTGACACGTGACGTGATGCCCGGCTATAGGGGCGTAGCGGACAGTGGGGGACACACACGCGCTCGAAAACGCCACAAACAGCCAAGATGTTTCTTCAATATGCAGCTGTAGATAATGGAAACGGTATTAATCATATATTAGCATATATAAGCCACAGGAACCATTACTATGATAATCATTAGCCTATTATTATTATTATTATTATTATTGTGCAGCCACATACAATGATTTTGAATAGGAACAATAGAGTGGCTATACAAAGGTAATGGAGGCTAATTGTATCAATATTTCCTATGTTTTTATAAAACAGATATTAATATAAATAGGCTATATCCCCTAAGGTTAGTTGATATCTGTTGGGCTGAATAGATGGGCTTGAGATTTTGACTACACCTTGAGGTGTGCTGCAGACTGGGCAAAAACGAAAAAACGATGTGTGCAAGATTGGCTGCAAGGCGATTTTGAACAGTGGCCACCATTGTAATTGCAGGACACTTGACGCCCACTGGCCCCAAAAGACTCTTTGACTATATGCACACACACTAATGAAGATGACATTTTTTCTGGGGTCAAATGCATTTCAAATTACTTATTATATTATTAATCCAATAAAAATAAAAAGTATCAAAGAGTCATATTATTAAATTATTTTTTTTGACCTCTTGAAAAATATGAAACTCATTTTCAAAACAAAGACCCGCAGGTTGCAGAGCTGAGGTGGTTGGAGTTTGGTAATATAAGCTGTGTTTTTTAATATCTGTTTAGGCCATAAAATCACTAGTCATAGAGTAACCAACCTGTGCAGGATTGGGGCCAGATGAGCTACTTTGCAAATCCAGATCATTTCATTTTACCAGATTTGGGTTAGTTTGAATCTAGTCTAGTAGCAGTGGACTCCAATCTGGACCAGTTTTGAAGCTTATGACAACCCGGAAGCTCATCCGATCCGGTCAGTTTATGCAAATTCCTGTGTGAGGGGGGTTAGCAGGAAGTCACCTGGGTCAGCCAGAAAAGAACAGAAGAGGCCCAAACACCAGCAAATTTTGGCATACGTGCCCAGTGAGAAACTTGAACGGGGAGCTATCTTAGGACAGATAATCTTTCTGTGTTGAACACCAACCATTTTATTTTGATATTTAAAAAACAATCAAACAATGCACTCAAAACTACAAAGAATTTGTAGCAACATGTCCTTCTTTAGGATGTCCAGTTTTGTGTGCGTAGCTTTCCCATTCTATTTTTTAAACCTGTTTAAAAGATAACAGCTATGCCATTAATGTGGAATGTTCTATTAATCTTAAATACTATATTAGTTTACAACATCCAAAACAAAATGCACCCAGGGAAAATGTATAAATTCTCCTTTATGTTACAGTTAACATGTTAAGCTTGAGTAATGGGAAACTGACAAGTTGTCCTTTTAAAATGGTTTATACATTTACTCATAATCAACATTATTGTTCATCGTATGTTCAGCATATTTGTTATGGAACAGTACCTGTATTAAATCTGGCAACTGCTGCTTCTGTGCCATGTCGACGTCTTTATAGGCAATTTGATTTGACAATCAATTTAATGTCCCATCCTGCCTGGTGATCGATCACAAATACATACACTATATATTTAACAAAAAGTGTTTTGATGTGATAAAGTGAGAGATGGAAGGAGGGAGGGATGGAGGCAGAAAATGACAGAGTGAGAGAGACCGTTGGAACGAGGTTTATACAGGAGAAGAGCTTAGTGCTGTACATTTGGATCCCGAGCAACTCTGCTGACAAGCATAAGAAGAACCTGCCAGAAGCTTGGCAGTAATTGACATAGGGATGGAGAGAATGAAAGGGATTCAAAAGCTCCCTTCTGGAATCAAATCCCTCAGGGTTCATTTAGACCTGACAGCTGATAGGATGAGCATCCGATCAGTCAGACGTGGTCAAAGCAAAATTTGCATGTCATTCAGACACACCAAGTTAGTGGGAGATTAGGGAATGGAGACAAGGTCAGAAAAGTCACCCATGTGTTCCTGGTGGATTGCTCGCTCTGGCTCTCCATACTAACACAGGAAAACCAATAAAACTATCAGTGCAGCTTTTGTTCCCACTGGAAACTAGGGAGCAATGGGAGTCACTGCACAGAAGAAATGCCATATAAACCTAGTTACTCGTTTGAAAAAGTGGTAATACATAAATACACTGGTTAGTCAGAGTTAAGTTTTTCAAATTATGGACAGAGGCAGTTTTAGAGAAGTTCAGCAATGTCCCAACAACCTGACATAACCATTTAATCTTTGTGTGTTTACATACAGAGGGAAACTACTTGATTGTCACAGCTAAAAAACAAAGCCAAAGTAGCAACGTTAGTTTAATCACACCAGATATGAGACTTCAGGCCTCCCTTCATGCCTGGATGCTGCAAATCCATCTTCCCTCATTTAAAAAATGCCAGCCTTAAACACTTTGCCAAGACACCAAATGACTGAAAACCCTCACTTCATTAAAAGCCCACATAACAAAAGCAGTTATTTTACAAAGCTCTTTAGAGTGACAGACTCTCTGCCGGGTTAGAAAATGCATAAAGTCTAGTCTCAACCAACCATCGTGGCAGTTGTGCCCTTTGATTAATGCAGCATGTTACAATAAGATTTGTTGTAACCACACAGCCAGTAATTCAGTCTTTTATTGAACAGCATTGCCCTGGAGCAATCCTGCAGATCACTCCAAAGCATCAGCTACACTAGAGCAAACTGAATAAATACTGGGCCCATGGACGTGAGTCTGCTGCCAATCTTTCCGTCGCACAAGGCTAAGCTGATGGAAATAATAAATTGCCAAAAGGTTGATGTTCTCCTTCAAGACCCTTGGCAGTGGAACCGTGTCCCCGAAAGCCAATTAAGGAGTTGTTTGAAGTGGAGAAACTCAGGGGAACAATGGAGACGGTCACAGGTTTTATTACAAATGGTGAAGTGAGTTTAATCTGGAGTTGGTAGAAGGGAGGGTATTATGCATCTTCATGGTCACATAGCATTACTCAAGTGATGGCTGCCTAAGGGGTGGGGGGTCCCAAAGCCGCGCTGAATCACACTTTCACATTATCTGACTGTGGAATGGGACATTACATTATCTTAAGTAGACTAATATGCATCAGAGTTGCTGAAGTAATTACACAAGTTAAAAGCTCCTAAGTGGGCGCGTTTGTCCATTCATTCTCAGCTGTGAGCAAAAGCGAGCAGCATGCCGACAGATCGAGCTCCGCCGCACACACACACCCCTCTGACACCTGTCTTTCTCTCCCACCTGTCTGCCCCCCCGCCCCACCTCCTGCCTTCCTATCATGTACAGAGTTGGAGCTCATATACCTCATTACCGTAGGCTTGGCCCCAAAATGTCTCCCATGAGGCTTTTTGCTATGTTGGCTCTAGTTTCACACCGCTCTCAGCTGTGTGTATAAAGCCTGGAAGCCTGGTTTGAATTTGCTCCAGGCATCTCTTCCTAAATTCTTGTCTCTACACCAGCCCTCAGCTGCACATTCAGCCTGCTGTGAAACTGGAGCTCAACGTTAGCAAAAGCATAACCAATTTCCCCACTGGCGTCAAATAGGGTTATTGATTGATTGATTACCTTGCTTCTCTTTTGTTGCACAAAAAAATCACTCCTGAGCTTGCGAATCTACTCCTGATTCCAACACGTGCACAATACATTTAGTCACAAATTCCACAAGGGGACAAATAACAGACTGTGTGATATCTTTAGGGAATAAAACTCTTCACGCAGTGTTTTTACTTAATTTGTACAAGTCAATTATACATATTGACACCAGTCTAAATCAATAAACATGTGTACTTTCCACAGATAACCAATAGTCCTCTGTCAGTCCACACTCTCTGCCTTCCATTCCCTGCCTTTCCCCCACCACTCATGCCCCCCATCCCATCATCCCCCATCCTCCCCTCCACTCCGACTCCCACGCTTTCATCATCCAGCCTTTTCTTCCTGCTTTTCTCATCTCCTTCTCATCAGCGACCATCACTTGATCCTACTAGGCACAGCAGTGGAGGAAAGAGGAAAGCCGCTGGACACACACACACACACACACACACACACACAAAGTGATGGGTTTTCATTTCAAATTCTATATAAGCCAGGCATCCCATCAGATACAGACAGAAAGATTCAATTTTGCAGGATGAGAAGTAAATGAAATCAGCTTTTTCTTAAATATAGCACACTATGTGGATGGGGGGGGGGATTCATATTTGGTTAATGGTATTATGAGCATCTTGAGCAAACACAACTGAACCCACAGAAAGGAGTAAGGAGCCATGTTTATGTCCTGCATGCACTTTTTGACTGACTCGTGATCTCTTGAGATGTGCAGGGCAGAAACACAACAAAGAAGTGTCCCAAGTATGAATAAAAACAACAAAGTCGAGGACTGGTTCTTAAAGATTCCAGCATCATCTTGGTTCCTTTCCGCTCTATCTCACCTTGCCCTTGATCTTAGTTCGATGTATCTGCCTCACCACCTTCTCTCCCCTTGTCTCTGCAGGCTGGAGTCTCATTAAGGCCTTCTGACGTAAGTGAGGAGGGGGAGACCCTGCATGTCTTCTTTCAGAGGGCTTCCCCTGCAGGAGCATGGGCAGTCCTGTACTGTACATGTGTAGACGCGAGCGTGTGTCACGAGTGCATTGCACAAAGCCACTGAAAAATGCATATTCTTGATGTATTATTGAAATCAAGCTTGGAAAAAGTCAAGTGAAAGAGGAAAGGATGAAAGAGACTTTATTTGTTTTTTTTCATCCCTCTTTCTAGCTGCATGCCAAAGTAATCATTCTAATTAGGGTATGGGAGAGGAAAAAGTATTTGTGCATTCATAAACACAACAGGAACAGAGCAAACAGTTACATAATCGCACACAAACACCAGCAGGCTGCTTTACATACTCTCGCACACACACTCACACAC